ATATATATAAAAATAAATACAATATATACTATTTAAATCATTAATAAAAAGGTTTCCGTATAAATATTCTGTATCATGTGATACGGAATTCGCAGTCAATTCCGTATAATTCTATACGGAATTTTATACTGAAAAATTTAAGTATTAATTCAAGATAATTTCAGTATATTTTTTTTCATAGGGCCAGATTTTGGATTAATCCGGATTTTAACCTAAGGTATATAAGTTTTTTTACTTAACATCAACAGTGATATTGGAACTTCCACTATGATTTTAGATTTTCAATATTTTATCAAAAAGAATAATCTCATGAATCTTTCTATCTGTAACGCTATAGGTCCGCCCAAGGTTCCATTCGATAGGCTAGTTTCTAAAAACGAACTTTAATACTAACTTTTTTCATGTACTTCATTATAGTAGTACAGTATTTTAGAGGCCCTTTTTTTAGAATCCCATCAGAAATGTTTTAAATCACCTTTTTTCTACCCATCAGGAATAGTACCGACGACCCATCAGGAATGATATGTTTGCATTTTGAAACCCTAAATAAAAAAATTTAATTGGGGCTGTGCGAAATTTTGCCAATCGAAAATTTATTTTCTCGTGATTTGAAAATACAGTCACACTCCAATATAAACTAACTGGGTTTACCCGACGGGTTATCGATAGGTATACCCGGATACAATATTTACCCGGACCCGGACATTGTGGACTATTTAACATCCCTACCTGGAACATTCACAGGTAGAACAATAAACCTTTCAACAAGTATTCTTTCAAAAATTCTTGGAGTGATATGCAGCCTTTCTAAACATTTGCTAACCTTTTATATACATATGAAAGATATACGGAAAGAACTTCAATAATAAAGAAAAATATTTGAAAAAGTTGCATATCGCACCAAATATTTGTTGAAAGAATACTTGTGAAAAAGGTTTATTGTTCTAATTGTTCTACCTATGATTTTGCACAAAACATTTAATTTCATTGAATATAATATTATGTACTAATCTATTCACGAATTTTGAGCCACTGAATATTCGCTTTGAATTGAATCTTCATTTTTTTATCCGTGGATATTCTCAGATCCCACCTCTACTGCTTAGTCTATTCCCAAATCAAACATACATTTGTATGAAATTGATGTCAAAAGGGATAAGAACATTTTTTATTGACCTCGATGGCGTAATTAGATGGGTGCGCGAAACAGTTGATATCACAGATCACGAAAATAAATTTTAGAATAATGAATAAAATGATTTATAAAGAAGATTCTGGAACTAAAAAAAATTATATATAACCTTGTTTTAGGCCAAAATGTTGTTTTTTAATCATCATCACAAGATAATAAAAGTAATATCATAAATCTAACACCATCATGAAACTTCAAGGCTTTTACGTTTTTACCACCATTATTATGTGCTTATACATGACATTTTTCTGAACGTTGAAGGTAAAGTTTTTAATTTATATTCAGTATTTCTCCACACTCTTTTCTAATAATTCGACATTTTGGTTTAATATATAGCATGGCAGGTCAAAATAGATTTGACTATGAAGCAGGGTGTAGAATTTGGGTAGAAGATGCAAATCATTACCGCATAGGTGGTGATGGAAAAGGAAAATATCATGTTTGCGATAAAACAGGAGAGGACATTGAAACAATTGATATTGCAGATCAGGAGTACTATGTAGTTAAAAAATATGTTTTCGTATACATAGAATGGGAACAGATTTCTATTTTGATCAAACTTCCTGTTAATTTTTAACTGTTATTAACTAACTAATAATTAGATATACCGGGTAGGGTTGGGGGCACAGGAAAATTTTCGGGCATGCCCCATGGGCATGCCTCTGGTTTTTTTGATTTAGAGGCATGCCCTATAGGCATGCCCCCAAAATTTTTTACGTGACAATTTTTTACATATATAAATTTTTTGAAAAAGGGCATGCCTAGGGGCATGCCCAGGAGGCATGCCCGAAAGGCATGCCTCGTGCCCCGTGCCCCCAACCCTAATACCGGGTGCTTGATAAGTCCCTTAACAGGATCTTTTTTATTGATCATTTTAATTATCAAAACTATTACGTTTTTTATTAGTAAAAATGTCCTATCTAGAAACTTTTTAAGTAAATAACAAAAAGGTCCTGTCCAGTGACTTATCAAACGCTCGGTATGTACAGTACTATTTCCTAATTCATTCAATCAATTTTGACAATAATGTTATATTTTACTTTTCTAAAAGACCTTTTCTCTCATAGATTCATTATGATACTAACTGAACACATTGGTGGACAAAGTACATATTTTGAAGTTTTCGATATGTACATTATATTTATTATGATGACGTTTATTTATTTCACACTAAAATCGCCCAATATAATAGTATTTTAAATTTCTACCTCCAAGTCAGGACTATGGGATATTTTATTTTTGATTCCATCATTTCACATTAAAATATTTGGGAGTTTCTAAACAATCAAGATTTCGCAAGATAGCCAAGAATTTTACAATTTCAAACACTACTGTTATTAATGTGCATACTTTTTGCTACGTAATAATATTAAAGCCAGAAGGACAATGTTTTGTATTACTAGAGTCATGTAATTTTATCAATAATTCATTGTAAATAAACTGTACGCCAATGGCGTACCACGTCCTCATGCCAAGGTTCTCAAAAAAATTTATTTACTATTGAAATATTTTAATTTTTAGTTTAATTGAATTGATTTTATTTTTGATGCCTATTTGAAATAGCATTATTTTAGCCAAATTACCAATTGCCTTTTGATTATTTTTCTTAATTATAATGATTTTTATTATATTGAAATGATACGATACGAGTTGTTAATCAGTGAGCAATTTGGAATTAATATTGACACTATCAGAAAAGTATCATGACTTTATTAGAAATCTCGACAGAGCATTATTCAACCTGTGATTACTCCACACAGTTGTTTTATTTATATAAGTTTTGAATATAAACTGACAATATTTTATTCTTATATGTTCAGAATTCACAAGGAAATTCTGGTTAATTCACAAGGAAATCCTGGCTGATTCACAAGGAAATTCTGGTTAATTCACAAGGAAATTCTGGCTGATTCACAAGGAAATTCTGGTTAATTCACAAAATCTTATTTTCATAGTAACTTTGTGCGCAAGAACCATTCTCACCATTTAACAATAGGTCTGCATTTCCAAAATTCATCCAATATCCGTTGTAACTATAAATTGCGTATGAGGAATTTTTAACACGACTAAGTATACGAGTATCAGAACCTTCATTTCCGAAACAAAAGATAAAGCTACAAAATTTATATTAATAGGAAAGTACTTATATAACATGCCAACAATTTATAGAATTAAACGAATGAAATAACAATAACATACCTATCATTAGTTGATTCCCATTGCGGACCATAAGAATTATGGCCATACCTATTATTATATCTAATATTACGGTTATTATTATTTCTTAAGCCTAGAGGGTTATATCCGCCGATTATTTTTTTTGAATCTTTGATCTTAATTAATCCAAGAACTGCACCACTACAATTATTCGCGATAAAATTATTGTATTCAAATCCATCGCGTGTTGCTCGATAGGTAAGCGTAAATTGATAAAAAGGTTTCCTAGAGAAGGCGGTTCTTTTTTCGATCCAATTAATGATGGCTGCAGCTTTATCCTTTTTAATAATAACAGAATCAATATCAATAGATCCATAACGTGGATGCAATTTTGAAATTTTGGGAGTTATATTAGCCATTTGATAAGCCATCAAATCTTCATAAAGATCTTCCGGTATCGCTTTTTTATAAGGTCTAACATGATGATAAAATTCTTCACTGGAAATTTCATGAAATCGAATATGAGGTATAAACGGATCCAAAGATTTTTTGAGTGATGCAAAATCATTTTTCCCCACTTAGTGACATCCATCTTAGATTTTTCGTTAGAAGATATTGATTGAGCTTTTCCCCATTTCACCAAATATTTCCAAATATCAATTTCTTCAAGATCAAGATCGTCTCTCTCGACAAGTTTTAAAAAGATATCTTTATCCAAATTCGGAAATTCCTCTAATTCAAGGAACGGTTTTGGATCATTACAGATAGTTTTCATAATATGATCTTGTATCGTCTTGCAACTTTGAAGCTTGAAGACTGCACGCAAAGCGATAATACAATTGTCTTGCAACCAAGATGATGCTTGATCAATGAGCTAAATTGATTTGTAATTATAATTATCATTTAATTGTGAAATAAAATAAACATTAGTCAAAGCAAGATTCTTACATGTTTTTGGACTTGATCAACTAATTTGTCAAGCATTAATTCATCGGACGCAACAAGAAGAGCGAGAATGTTAGAACTTGATTGACCAGTTAAATCAAGAATTCCTGTATAGATATAGCTTTAAAATTAAGATAATAAAGAGTAAGAAATGTAATAATTTATACATTTAATCAAATTTGCTTTTAACGTACCAAAGGATCAAACGAAATACATTTGAGGAGATATTTGACTTTTTAAAAATGATAACACCGCTTTTAGGGTGTACCCATTTATCAGATAAAGCGACTTTAAAATAAGGTGATCTGGCACGCAAAACATTTGAATGTGCATTAAATTCTTTAAAATCTGATTTTTCACCAACTTGAATAACGACGTCGTAATTATCAGATTCTTCAAGAAGTTGAGAAAATTCTTTTGAAAGATCCTCAAGCAATTTGATAATAAACATGATTATCGTTCAGAGTCTGTGAATAGAAGTCACAAATTATTTAAATATGGTTAAAAAAAGTTAGAAGTGTGATTCGGATTTGATTTTTCCGTTAAAACCGGTTTGAACTGATTCGTATAAATCTGGATCATGACATCAGTCTAATATAATGAAGATCACTAATCAAGATTTTTTATATCAGTGTTAATTTAATAGTAAAAACATAGAAAGCTCAAGCTGCAATAACTCTTTAACTAGAAATCCACACAAATATAATTATATTTGTCAGATTGTTATAAGTGCTCTTTAACATGACAACACCTTTTTTTATTTTGATTATCTAGAGCGTAGCAGGGAGAATAAAATAATGCCAAAATTCTCGTTTTTGATATATTATTAATAAAAATATCAAAAACGTTACTTCGAATTTTTCTGTACACAATATATGCTTTTTGATATTTTTATTAATGGTTTGGAAGTACACCTTTGTACTACCGAGAGTACATTTATTAAAATCTCTAAAAAATCTAAAAAAAATTTTAAAAAAATTTATATATATAAAAATCGGATAAATCTTCTAGTTTAACCAAAATTGATTTATTTTTAAGTTTATAAAAAAGTGATTGAGAAAAAGATTTATAAAAATTTATTTTAAAAAATTTTTAATATACTATCAGTAGTACACTTTTTAAAATTATTTTAATAATAAAATTATTAATAAATTTTATAAATTAAAAAGTTTAATTTTATAAAAATTTTTATTTTGTTTAAATAATTAAAAATTATTATTAATTAGGTTTAGGTCACAGATAAATATGTCTAAGCTTTTATTTTTGTATATAATTTTTAATTTTATTTGTACTTGTACAAATAGTAGTATTTCTATATAGTTTTTATATAGTTATTATTCTTAAAATTATTAATAAAAATATGAGCAAGCCTTCACCTTAATATCAAAAAAAATTATATTATTAATTATATTGTAATAATTATTACTTATATTATAAGCCTAATTTAAAATTTACTGCAAATTATTATTATATATAATAAGTTATTTCACTTTAATCCAAATTTTAAAAAAAATTTATTGATTAGATTTTTTTAAAATTTTAATTAAAGCTGTAAATTTTTATATTTTAATTTGAATTTTAAATTTTCTTTAATTTTGGAATAGTTTATCATCAATTATATTATTTAAGAAGGTGACAACTTAGTGAAATGGTCAAGTTGTTATCTTCTAAGCAGCATCTAGAGTTTAAAATTTCTTTCTGTGTTATAGCTATGATCTTTCTGTTAGGGCTGTGTTATGCACAGTGCTTATCAAGTAGAAGCTAAGTTTTGTAATCCAATATATACTAATTGGATAAATTGAAAGGATCTATAAGGTGTTCATATAATGCACAAGTTATACAAAGATATGCAAGCTAGCAAAGAGCGATACAAACCTAAAAAAAGTTTTTGTAGTTAAATAAATCCTGAAAAATTCAGCAAAATTGATGCCATTTGGCAAGACTTGAGTAGAAATGTAGTGCAGTCTTAAGTACCTAGATAAACTTCATAAAAGCAGAGTGATTTGAAAGTTGTATAACCTACCTATAAAAGTATAAAATTTATCTTATAAAGAGTCTTTTTGTGGCTGCTTAATTGTAGTTTAAAGAAAACTAGATTAGCTGCTAAATAGCAAATTAATAACAGAAGACACTAGTCTGGATATCCCCTTCCTTTTCTATAACTAGTTGTATTTAAAATTAGTTGACAATTATAAATATTATGAAGCCATTTGTCATTATTGTAATAAGAGAAGGTAGCAAGTTTTTAGTTATAGAAGCTCATTTGGCACTTTACTGCAAAGAACCTATATCAGATAATATTAAAAAATGGTTAATTGAAGTTGCTAAAAGAGGTAAAAAAGTAAATAATAATAAAGATAATGATGTTCTAATTGAAAAAAAAGTTAAAACTATCAATCAGTCAATTAAACCACACTATAAACCTGTTAATATGTTATCTCTCAACAATCTGCAGATATTACAAAAGCATTGCTTAAAGCTTTTGTATGCTGCAAAATTTCTTTTGCAATTATTATCAATCCTTATTTTTGTAATCTTCTGCAACCTGATCACATATCAATGTATAACAATACTTTTTCAAGACCAGTACGTAATGGAGAAATTGCATAAATTGTTATAAAAATGAAATCTGAATTACAAAAACTGATAATTTAACTTTAAGTATATATAATTTAATTAATTTTTTAATTTTTATAATTATATTTATAATCAATTCTAATTAATTTGTTTTATAGCAATTGTCAGTTGAACTTTCTCAAAAGGATATTCACTTTACAATTATATTGTTACAACTCCAAAGCACTATAAATATATTTATGCTATAACTGATTATTTATGAGAATGCCAAACAGAAAATTTTATTGCAACTAAAATTTCAGATATTATTGAAGAAATTGGCTCTTATTAGTTTGCAGCAATCGTAACTAATAATGGCTCTAATATATATACTGTATAACAAATTATTTATCAAATTTATTTTCATATATTAAGCATCATTGCACTGCTTATGCACTAAATTTGATTGCAGCTAATTTTGTGAAGACTGAATTAATAAAGAGGATTTTAAAACAAGCAAATATTTTAGTCTTATTTTTTCAAAAATCTCAGATTTTGTGAAATACAATTGCATTAATAAACATAAAAGGAGAATCATTCAAAACATATTGTAAAATATATTAATTGTCTATTTACAATCCAACAAATTCTATTGTTCATGTTAGACCTGCTATTGAGAAGGTTTGTAAATTATATAATTTATATTGCTTTAATATACTAAGATAAGGCCAAAATTGTATATTAATTTTTTTTTTAGATTATTGAAGAAAAACCAGATATATTTTCTAATCAAGAAGTGTTTGAGATTGCAAACAATATACATAATAGTTTTTATACTTCTTGCAAAAGAATCATTTCAGTCTTTAAATCAATTAAGTGAGTAATTAATTTACTTAAAAGTAATACTGCAAGCTTGACAGATTGTTTCTTAGAAATTGTCCATATTGCTGCTGCTCTTAAAAAAACACCTACTAGTAATAATTTTTGTATATTGGCTATTTAAGCATTTAATTTTGCTATCAGCAATTTGATATTTCTCCATATCTTCTAGCTTATTTTCTCTATCCTAAATATTAAAGCTGTGGTTTTAAAAATAGAAATTTATATAATATTCATAATTTGGCAGTTAACTATTATAAAGATTTATTTCATAAAGAAGAAGAGTGCAATTAATTAGATATAAAACAGAAGTTGAACCTTGGGATCTTGAATATTTTTCTAACTTAACTTCTTCTTTATGGTGGGGTATTGTTGTTGAGAATGTATATTTACATTTACAAAAACTAGCTTAAATTATGTTTTTTATTATACCATTTCAGGCCAATTGCGAATGAACTTTTCAATTTAAAATAATTTAGTGAAAAACAACATATATGGTTTCAAGTTTTGCAATTAAAAAGTATAGCACAAATTCACTCTTTTTATATATTAAATATTAAAAAAGAGTTGAAATTTTATAATAATAATTTTGTGGAAACTGAGTTGTGTAATAGTGCATTAAGTGATACAGTTGTTTCAGAAATTAATTATACTAATTTAAATAAGAGCAAAGCTAAAATTTTGAGTCCTACTGAAAGTGATATTACAATAACACTTCAAAGTTTAATTGATCTATTAGACTAAATATATTTAAAGTAAAAATAATCTTCTTTAGATTGATGAAGAAATAAATATGGTAGATCTTTAGTTCAGAATGCATTGGTTTATTTTATTTATTTTTTTTTTAAGATGAGTTTTGCCTTTATCTTTATTAATAATTTGTATTGAGGATCCACTATAAATTCCTCTAGCCAGAGCCAATTTACAAAATTTTTTACAAGAATAAGACTTAGACTACCAAAAACTATCTAAACTAGAAATTCTGATTCATCTGTAACCTAAACCTACTAGAGTGGTTAAAACTCACCTTGATTTGATAATATAAAATATTGTTAGTTGAAATACTATATTTAATCCATGTAATAGTCCATGAAGATACTTTTCTAATTGCTTTGCCAAGGGGTAGGCAAATGTTATCATTATGTTGTTGGTCTGGCAGACTACAAAGGCAGCTATAGGTATGTGATACTCTATATTGTACTGTGTTATGAGTAGTTGTTGTGTGGACATTTGTCATATTACTATTAAGTCTAGAAGGTATATTATTTTGTTGTTTTCATTATGTGAGTTTAGAACAGTATGGTATTCATAGCTAATCATATATATTTTGTGATAGTTATAAAAGTAGTTGAATAGTTGTTTTTGATACAACTTGAGTAGAATCTGTATATTTTTTTATAGTCTGTATGAAAAATATAAGAATAAATTCTTATCTAATTGTATATAGATTGATATTATTATATTGGTAATTGGATAGTTTGTAAGCTTGGTTTGTAGCTCATATAATTGTATATTAGTAATATCTAGTCTGAAATGTTGAAGAAACTGTTGTATAGTATTGGTAATAAGTGTGTTTAATTTAGATGTATTTGGGCAGATAAGCCAGTGTTTTTGACTCTCTCTTAAATTATATATTATATAGTTGTCTGTTAGGATTGTTGATGGGTATAATGTATGTTGATATGTTAAAGTAAAAAGTGACTTAAGTATCAGTTTGATCTTGAAAGTTTTTTACTAATATAATTTAAAGTTAGTATAAGTAGTTGATCTTTTGTAGTTGTTGTTTAAATATAGCCAGGTTGTGTTCTAATTAATTTGAGTTGATATAGATATGAAATTATCTATTCTGTGTTAAAATGACTACATTGCTATAATATGGGCATTGCATATATTTTTAATAGATTTATGAGTAGGTTGTTCAAATATATATTGTTTATATTGAATTTGGTAGGATAGATTATATATGTTATTATTTGTGAATTAAAGTATAATTGAATAATTAGCATTTTTACTAGTCTGTTAGCTAAGTTATTAAAGGTATTGCCACTATGTGCTGTGACCTTTTCAAATTAAATGTTAAGCTTGTAAGCTTTGATCAAGTTAAGTAAGGTATACTATATTGGCTAGTAGTTATAGGAGTATCTTTTGTTTGGTATGGGTGGTGATTGTATAAGCTTTTTGTATTTAGATATAATAGATTGTGAATCTGTATAGATGATAATAGAACTATTTCTTGAATAAGTACTGATAGCAGAGAGTATTGCAAAAAGTTCAACTTTGTAAGATGATGGCCAAAGTTTAATTTCTGCAGAATAAGTATAGATAATGATATCATTTTGGGTTTGAACCCATCCAACCTCCATAGTACATCATTCTGTAGTGATATCTCTAACAAAACTATCTGTATAGAATGTTAATTGGGAATAAGTTGAGTTATTTTTTGCAATTTGTATTAATGTCTGTGAGAGTTGGTTATCAATAAAGATTTTAAATATTGCATTGTCTTAAATATTAATTATAGGTTGTGTTGATATATTTATTAGATTTCATAATACTAAAGAATATAGCAAGTCAAGTAAGTTAGCATTGAGATTAAGCATAATGCTGGTTTTTATATATTTTGTTCTTTCTAAAAATTTTGTTGATGAGCTAGTTGAGATATTAATTGTATATTTGTTTCGAATCTGATTAGAGTTTAAGAAACATCCTGTACATAGCTTATAGGTATATATTAGTGCAGACTAAAGGTTGATATATAAGTAGTCAAATGTAATGTTCCAGTATGTAATAGATATTTGGTCACTAATAGAGTTAAATTTTCTAGCCTTTCCAATAATAATATGTTAATTATCATTATATGTAATTAGTCATGACTTAGATTTTCTGTAGTGTCTAGTTTAAAATAATATTAAGTTAATGTTTAATAAGTCTAGATGTGAATTGCTTTGTCTAGTAAGTTGATTAGTAGTTGTTTTTTCTTCAAGAGCTATAAATTATAGAGGTTTACATTTTTAGAATTTGTTATATTTGTAGTGATATGTGGTTCTATACTAGCAAAGTAGAGTTGTCAGATGATGTTAGCTGTTCTAAATAAATAATTTTCTTTAATCATAGTTGTTTTTTGAATTGTAAATATAATTTGTGTTTGTTAAGAAATTTTTTAATAGGTGTGTAAGGATGGTAAAGTGTATATAGTTAAAAGTAAGTCATATGTATATTGATAGCTAGTTGAAGTGAGTTAAGTAGTTGTATAATTTTGAAGATAGTTGTGTTTTTGTTGGGTCTATCAATTAATAGATGAGGATGTTGAAGAATATTGATTGTAGACCAGAGATTGTTTTGTAATTGTTGAAGTTGTATATGGGTACTAGAGCCTATAAATTTAAACATCGTAGGAAGTTGGAAATATAATGTTGTAATTGCATGTTTCATATGTTTTTAATACCATATATATTGTGATTAAGTAATGTGCTATTAGGTATAATAATAGGCAGTTTAGCTTTGTGTTTGGCTATAGTTAGATATTGTATCAGAATTGAGTTATATGTAGTTCAAGGAAGTATAATGTTGTGTATATGATACTCTAGAATAGTAATAATAACATTATTAATGATATAAATAACTTGTTTGTCAGTTATATTTTTGGTCTTAAGTATATTATTAAGACCAAATGCTTCTTGTTTGATAAGCTTAATTTGTGTAGTATATTTAAGTATAGCTGTAAACCAGCATCTCAAAAAGTTGAATAGGGTATATTAAGGTTGTGTTTGAATAAAATCATTTATAAAGCTAATATATGGGATTTGGTCAGTGTTGAATATTAGAACTGATTTTTGTAGATTTACTTTGATGTTTGCTATTTTGTAAAATGAAGATGCAGTTTGTGTAATTTGTTGTAATTGTTTAAATAATTTGGCAAGCTACAAGGTATCATCTATATATACTAATACTAATGTAAAAATAGATGTATTTTAATATTTAATAGGATTAAGTTAGGTAATCTATTCAACTGTAGACATATATTCAGTATATGTTTTGTTAATACTAGTGATGAGAGGATCATAGTAAATACACCAAAGAAGAGAAGTTATTGTCTCTCCTTGGTCAATTCTATCTTGTATGTTATATAGAGGTGTTAATCTGTAGTTAGTAATAACTTGGTGCAGTTTTATAGCAAGTTGATAATAGTTTATATAAGTTGAGTTAGTATATTTAGATATTGTAAAGCTTTGTTAAGAAAATGTATATTGACTGAATCATAGACCTTACTCATATCTTGTAATAGAATCTAGGCCTATTTTTTTGTATATTTGATGTCTTCCAGAAAATTGTTAAGTATATGAATTGGATTATTGGTAGAGTTGCCAGGAAGTGCAATATAGTTGTGAGTATTAAAAATAGAATATGTAATAAAAACTTTAGTTAGTTAGTTTATAAGAATTTTAGTATAAAGTTTTTTGATATGTTCAATAAGCCTGATAGAACAGGTATTGTTAAGGTTGTCATCAAACTGAGACTTTTTTGATATAAAATAAATTCTACTATTTTTCATTGCTTGAGTATATTGTGTATAGTAAGACATCAGTTGAGTAGAGCAGTAATTTCAAGTAATATACTAGGGTCTATATATTTAATCATTTCATAACTGATTTCAGATAGCTTGCAAGCTTTGTTATTTGGTAGTTGTTGTATAGTTTGTAATACCTCTTCTATACTGATCTCTTCGAGTATAGAATTATACTATGATGAGTTTATAGAAAGGATAGATTCATATTTTGTTTGCCAATGTTGGTTGAATATTGTGTTATTATAAGGTTGGTGTGCTGTCTATTCATTAAAATAATTTGTAATATATTGTTTAATGTTTGTTAGGTCAGTAATAATATCACTATCTATTCAAATGTTCTGAAAGTGTATAACCTCTTTGTGTTTGTTGAGTATACTATTAATTATTTTAGTAGGCTGGGATAACAGTTGATCACATCTTTTATCAATGACTTTGTTTATATGTTTTTGTAAATATTAGATATTTTCTAGATTTTTAGTATTATAAAATGTTTTCCAATATGTTTTGGTGTGTTGAAGCCATGTTGCTAGTTCTGTTTGTTCAGTAGATAGATAGTTAATTGAAAAGCTATGAGCAGTATTAATGTAGTCAATTAAGTTAGAGATATTATTAGATAGACAAGTATTATAGAAAAAGAACTTTTTAGTGCAATGTATAATGTATCCTATAGTTTTAAGGTCTTTATAAAGCTGTGTTGCTTTAGGTGTAAAGAAATAAAATAGATATTTAACAGTATATTTCTTGTTAGGAATGTGTTGTATAGCAGCTTGAATAAAATATAAATTTTGTGCTAGGTTTTTTCAAGACTTTCAGTTGTTGTAGCAGAAATAGATATATTATGTCGAGTCATATTAAGGTTAACTTGGTTGGTAAAGTTTTCTTATTGTTCTTTAGTTATTTGTTTGTAATCATATACTCTACACTTGCATTTGGACTTGTGGTTTGTTCTGGCTAGTACAAAAGGGAATATCCAGTTGGTTATTAGAATTTAGTGATTACTATAGATTGAGAATAGTAAGTTTTCAATTTTGAAAGTATGTAAGTAAGGTATAAGAGTGTTGTTTGCCCAAATATAGTCAATTCAACTTTAGTATTTCATGCTATATCAGATGTTTTGTAGGTTGTTTATATGATTTGCCAGGTCATACATATTAGTATTATGTAGATAGTTAAGAAG